TCAATCAAAAAATACATTGGTTACCTAGTATTTTTTCTCTGTTCAGCATACCCGTCAGATGTATTAAAATTGGCTTGATATCTTTTTAATTTATATATGTATATGAAAATATTATAATTGTATTTATTTAATATTTATAGCTACACCAAGTAATCCAAAAGGCAGTCCTAATGTGCACATTATAAAAACAGCTGATGGACAACTAGTGAAAAGTTTCGAATACAGAGATTATAAACTTTGGTAAAATCAAAATAAATTTAAATTAAATTAAAAATATTTTGAAGCAATATTCATTTATGTTTTATGTAAAATAAATAGGCCCATTATTATATTGGTATAATATTGCTGTCTTTTATAGGACTCCACAGTGGTCTTCTGATGAGAAAATTTGTGCTCGATTTTTGAATGGCGATGTTTTATTTTAAGAGAATTCTAATTTTGATAATATTGTACAAAGAATTAAAGGACTTAAACTCAATAATTATTCAATATCTCCAGGAAATCAACCACTTAATATTCTTTGCTTTATTCCAGGTACTTAAATACCTCGTATTAACTAAATACAAATTATATTTTTGACATATTGTTAATATAACTATTAAAAATTGTATTTATAACCTAAAACTTAACATTAAACTAACCTAATAGTCTTTAGTCTTATATAAATCGAAATAAGATTGATATTTACTAAGTTAATAATAAAGTTGTATCAAAAATGAAATATTGGGGGAAACAACACATTTTAACCTAAATTATATTAATAAAGGATGTTGAAACACAATATTAAAAATAATAATTTGGGTCTTAAACTGATGGGTTGATTATAATAATTTGTTATTTCAGCTAAAACTGGCCCTTCAAATGGTCGTCTGTTTCAATATCCAGATTTTAGCACTATTGTTGCAAACAAAAGTTTCTTTCAGGTATAATAACAATTTTTTTTTTCAAGAATATACTTTATGATAATTTTATTCATAATTCATAATTTGTAAATATTTAGGCTGATAGAGTAGAAATATTTTGGAATCTAAAAGGAACAGCATCCTTAATGTTAACAAGTACCGATGTCGACAAAACAGGAGCATCTTATTATGGTAAACAAGGTCTACATCTGATAACTTCAAAAGGAGACACTTCTCAAGTCATAGTGAGTAAGTAATTTATTTTTTATTGGAATTTAATATATATTTTACATTTTAATATTTTTTAAATGTATTCATTTTGATTAATTTCTACAATTTAGATAAAGAAGGACCTTTATATAATGCTGCCTGGAGTCCATCTTCAAACGAATTCTGTGTTATCTATGGTTTTATGCCAGCAAAGGCAACTTTATATAATTTGAAATGTGACTCAATAATGGAATTTGGAACTGGAACATTTAATGCAGTCTACTACAATCCCTTTGGGAATAATATCCTTTATATATTGAAAAATGATTATTCAATTTGAATTTAAAAAAAAATTCAGTATGTAGATATATATAAATTTCTTTAACTCTTTAAACACTTCTTCTCATAGCTGGGTTTGGTAACGTGCAAGGAAATGCAGAATTATGGGATATAAATGGCAAGAAAAAGATTAAAAAAATTGAAATACCTGATACTACATTTCTTCAATGGTCTCCGAATGGTCAACATTTTGTAACTGCTACAACTGCGCCACGACTAAAAGTAAGTAATGGCTATAAAATTTGGCACTATAGTGGTGCATTATTACATGAAAAACCTTGGGGAAAAGATGAATTATATCAAGTTGTTTGGCAAAATTATCCTCAAGGTACTTATAAAACACCCAACATAGTTTACAAAGCTGTTGAAGGAATTGCTTCTAGTCAACCAATTGGCAAGTTATTTTAATCATTATTGTTATATTTCTAATACTTCTTTGCATATTAATGTTATTATTAAATCAAATTCCTTTTTGTGATTTTAACTTGCAGCTTCTAAACAAGTTTATCGACCACCGCATGCCCGAAACTCTGATTTTAAACCCACTAGTTTACATGAAGATTCATCGTTAGAAACAAGTAAGTTTTTATTTACTGTGTAATTATTTTAAGAAATATAGTTAATTTTTTGTTTTTAATGTAGTAACATACAAAATACATGAAATAAAAAAATTTTTTTTTTTGGCAAATCTAGAATTTGAAACAATTGTGTACTTAAGTTAAATTATAATTAATCAACTATACTAATCTACAAAATATCTATCAATTTTTAGAAAACCAATCAAAAGCTTATTTAAAGATGAAAAAGAAACGTGAAGCTAAACGACAAGCAAAACAACTGCAAGATGTAGAAGACTCAAACGATGATAAACAAAGTGCTGTAAAAACAATTGAGGAACCCAAAGATAAAGAAAAACAATTAAGGATTAAAAAAATTCAATCTGTATGTCTTATAACTATTATTTTATTATTAGCTGGATATTGTAGTTAATAAATAATACTGAAATTTGTTGTTTTTCAGGATTTAAAAAGCATCAATCGTTTAAAAACCTTACAATCTTCTGGTAAAGAATTGGATAACAATCAAATGGCAAGATTAAAGCTTGAAAACGGTTTATTAGCTGAACTTAAACAATTACAGTTGTAATATAAAAAAAATTATATTTAATAAAAACAAACAAGTATAATAACTAAATTATTGTTATATTGTATTATAATTTATAGTACTGTACTGTAATTCTATATTGTAATAAATTTACAAAAAAAAAGTAATCTCGAATAATAGTTAAAAAATACTGTTATGTGAATATCCATATCAATATACAATATCGTAGGTTTGCTTTAAGATTGAAGGTTGCTGAAAATTCAGAACCTAAGAAATAAATGTAATAACATGAAATAAAAAATTGAAAGGAAATATTTTTCGGAATTTCTACTTAAAAATCATCAGAATAATATATTATCACTGTATAATATAAAAGTGATGTTCAACCAGCTAATTGTATTTCTTGTGTACCAGTGATTTGAGGACTGAACCTCCAAAAGCATATATTCTGTTCAAAATAAGAATAGTAGTCAGCAACCAGGTTGTGCATAAGGGTGTGGCAATACTACACAGCAGGTACAAAAATTGATGTCTCATTGAGGATGACAAACAGCATTTTCCTGACTGTTCCTGTCGACCTCTATGTCTTACTTTGAACAAAGTATAGAAACTAGCCTGTGCACCAACCTAAGGTTATACACTTGTTTACAGAAACATTAACTGCCACTGTGTTTAAAGCCACAATCGTCCGATTATTGTCACACTTTATGAGAATATTAGGGGACTACTAATAGTTTAAGTTGGTGAAAGCGATCAAGACGATGATTCCAAATAAAATAACCATAAAGTAATACATTAATTTTAATAATCAAAATTAAATTTCTTTCATTCTAGTTTCTAGTACCTACCTACATTTCCACCGTATTAAAAACTTAATAACTATTTTAATTTAAGCTATTTTTTTTTTTTACAAACAACATTGGGAATACATATTGTGAAGAAAATAACTTTGTTCGTCTGAAATTGGATTTTACGGTAGACCAATGTGTGTCGCACAGTGAATGATTTAGGATGAATGTTTGAATATACTTTTTGACAATTATTCTACAGGTTTTACCATGTGTCCAAGACTTCTGAAAATTGAATCAAATTCGTTAAAATGTCTACTTAAAATCATTTAGAAATCAGGGCAGTAGTGGGGAACATTTTAAGATTTTTAATTTAATTTCAATTCCGAATAATTAACATTTACAATTTCATGAGTTATAAAGATATTCTTTGAGTATACCAAATTTATTGGTAAGATTTCAGACAATAAATGCAGTTGCTAAGAAACCTTGAACATTTAATACAATATCCCGCATAAGTTGTCAGACCAACTAAAAATATCAAAAATATAGTCACAATACTTGTTTCGTCAAAACAGCGAAATCTGCAAATTCTTTTTTAATTAAAAAACTCCAAAAAATTAATATTTAACGTAAAATTTAAAAACTGACCTAATGGTTTCTCATAAGTTGTGTTAGGACTGAACTAAAAAAAGTTAAGCATGATTCCAGTATTCCACTATTTTTTTGTACGAATGTCTGAAGCTTAAATTTCGATGAAATATTTCAAAGTTAAGTGTCTCCGTCAAGGCGTCATGCTTAAAATCATGGGTAACGGTCCAATATGCGACCTACAAATGTTACTCGAACTACCGATACAATTGAGTTGATCTACACTTTTCTTTATCGCGGTTATTGTCGTAGTGGGAATTTTATTCTATTTTATTTTATTTTTGTTCTCCAATAGGTACCTAATGAAAAACAAATTATATCCATATTTAATTTTGTGTAACCATTAGCAACCCTAAATGTATGTAAATTAACTAAATAGATATTCGATTTTCTTGAGTCGAAGCAAAAAGCTCACAGAGACTGTGAGTCAACACTTGAATTTGGTTATGAAAATTAGACTATTTATGAAGATAACTATCTCATATCATCAATATCGGTTCAACGGTTGAGGAGTTCTTAAGTCACGAACATATATTTTTATATAATAGATTTAAGCCGAATAATTTTTAATTGTATCCTCGAGGTCTAATATTAATAATTGTTCTTGAGCTATAAAAGAAAATACTAAAAATACAGTATTATTCGGTATTCCTATTCTAAAACTGGAAGTTGTCTACAGCCTTAAATTACGTAGAAAGTAGAAGGTGCTAGCTGCCATGAAAAGTATATATTTTGCATAGACATAATAATATAGACACAATAATAATATTTTTATGTCTATGATATTTTGTCACTACTGCTACAGTGCTACATGCCTACATGTATAGTTAATAATTATAAATAATAAATATAGATCTGTGGGTCATAAATCATAATATAATGAAAGCCACGATAAAGTATTTAAAGATATTATATCACAGAATAGATTACATTAATTCATCCATGGCTATCCAGATAGATATGTCATATCTATTCTATGATAAATTGATAAAAGTAAGCACATTTACTTATTAGTTACTGTCGTTACTGATTATCTTATTATTCCTAACTTTTTAATTTTAAAATTTGAATTAAACTGCAACACAGAATAGTTTTATTCTATTTTTTATCATCAATTTTAGAATTATATTTTGACTGCAGTTATGCACATTTACTAAAAATAAAAGTATGAATTTAAATAGTAATGTTTGGATTTTGTCTAAGTCTTTTTTTAAATGGACCTGGCGCAAACGGTTTTATTCCTCAGCAGCAACACCATTAAAAGTACCGAATATAAGTGAAAATTTGAGTTCTTTCAAAAAACTCAAATATCCAGAGAGCATGTTCGTGTACTGTAATGATGTAGCAAGTAAATAATTACTTAATATTATAATTTATAATTATAGTATAATTGATATAATAAAATATAATTACATTTTTATTACAATTTTAATAATTGATTGTGGCTTGTTGTAAAGATAAGGAAATTATTAATAATATAAGTGCACATATTTCTTATGTATTTATTATTTAATTTATAAACATGTTTAGAAGATATATCAGACACAATATCTGTACACTTGACTAAAAAATATGGTAAAAAAAAAATTGAAATAATTGAAGCCAACCCTGGTCCATGTTTAATTACACAACATTTACTGAAAAAAACGAATTATAATATATGCGTATATGAAAATAATTATGTGTTCAAAGAATATTTAATGGTTAGTATTACATTTTTTTTTTTACTTTAGTCGATTATTATATGGTACATACCTATGTTATTTGTTTAAAATGTTTAATATGTTATTTTAAATATAGGCAGTTCATTCAAATTATGGGGACAGAATTAAAATCAACCATGGTAATTTTCTCTTGCTATGGAAGTTTGGATTTCAAGATCGGATGGATCGAGGAGACAGAGTTTCAAAATTTCTATCAAGTATTGGTACACCACAACAACCATGGAACCAAGAACGTATACATTTTTTTAACTTCCATAAACTTTTAAAGCATTGAATTAAAAATAATTTATATTTATAGGTCCATCACTAAAAATAATTGCCTCATTACCCAATAAGAAATTTATGAATTATTTGATCTATAGTTTTATATTTCAAACAGGATTGATGGTTTATGGTCGACCAGAATTTTATTTTTTACTCTCACCATCAGTATTTAAGGTAAGACATTTAAGACGAAAATGAATCTATATAAACTTTATTTTTATAACTTAAAATAATATGTAATATTTACAAGTCATTTTATTTTTAGAGGTATTCTTGTAAACCAATTATTGATAAAAAATATTATAAAACACAAACAATTCTATTTCAAACTATCTTTGATATAGAGTCATTAAAAACTTATCCAAGGACAGCATTTTTTCCACCACATATTTCAAAATCTGCTAGTAAAAATGGTAAAAATGTCCGTTATAAAGAGGTAAGCTATAAAAATAATATTTATTATCTAAAAATCAATTAAAATTAATAAGTTTTAATTTTATTTTTAGTTGAAGGAAGCAGATGATAAGTATATGATCTTAGCAAAGGTTGTAGGCCGTCGAGAGATTTTAAATTCAGAAGGCTTAACAGAAGATTTATTGAAACCATATTGGTATTTTGTCAAGCATCATACACTAAGCCGTAAAAATTTTGTAATACCAATGTTAGAGTAAGTGTATTTAATAGATTCTTATTTTATTTATTTCAAAGTAATCATAATTTTTTTATTGCTTTTTTTACTTTCAGGCAGTGGATTCCTGGTTGTGGACCTTATTTTATAGCCCAAGGATACACAATATTTACTCAGTTCGGTGATCTTACACCTCCTCAAATTTTACGCTTATTCTTAAAATTTATTAGTTTACCAGAGTATAATGATTCACCATTTCTAAATTCAATGGAAAGTAGAATTGCTAAATTATTACCTTCATTACAAATCCCACCTGACGACTCGATTACTGAATTATCTGAAAATAACTCTTCTATAGACTTTGAAGATTTTAATAACAAGGATAATTAATATGTAAGTAAAAAAGACTGAACTCAAAATTATGTTAATGTTATATATTTGTCAGATTGTGTATTTTATTATATTTGTATTAATTTGTGTTATACTAATTAGTAATGTATTTAATGTTTTGTATTAAACTTGATGTACAAGATAAGTTTTTTCTTCTTAATAAAAGCTTTTATCTGAATTGCATATTAATATATAGAGTGATTTCTTTATTGTAAAAGTAATACATATAATAAAAAAGCTGATTTTGTTGATTTAATTAGTAATAATGATTTCTGCCCATTTCAGACAAATTAAACTTGAGTGATTTTAACTCTAAATATTTATCAAAATATAATAAATTATCTTACTATTTTGTGTGGACTTGCGGTGGTAACTACAGGCACATTTTTTTCAAAGAATTGTATTTCTTTTGAATTTTATTAAAAATGATTAACCATACAAAGAAGCATGAACTATATTAAACATAAATAATCCAAGTTCAGTATTTCATTTAATGTATTAACTGCTGTTTCATATTGTTTAATGATCGAGTAAATGTATGAACATTTTCTTTATTCAACATTATAAGTGTATCCAATCTTTCTTTAAAAGCAGCACGCTCTTCTTCAACCAGTTCTAGTCTGAATGTCATTAAATATTATATATTATGATCTTGATTATTAATAATGTACATAATTATTGCATTAAATTTATTATTTACTTATTTTGTAATTCTATTAGTTTTTCATTTGGATTTAGTTCATGTTTCAAATGGTATGAAATACTATTTGATCTTTGCTTGAATGATGAACTTAAGCACCCCATCTTTGATTCAAATTTTTGTAACTTTTGTTTTTCCGTTAAGTATTTATTCTTTTAAATAAATTATTCCGTTAATGTCATAAAATATTTAACTATGATGTACTTACTTTAAAATCAGTAGCATTTAGAACGTGTTCACAAATTTTGTTGTGAGCCATGATTAATAGGTCCATGAGTTGTTGGTTTTCAAATCCATTCAATTTCTATTTAATAAAACCATATTATAACCTCTTATTAATATTCATTGGTTATTAGTTTATTACCTGTATAAAAATGTCTTTAGGATCTGTAAAATCTATTGAACACATATTACCATCTCTGTAAAGTATTAATTTAGTATTTGGTACTTTATGAATTTTCATATACATACTAATATTATTACTTACTGATTTTTTTCATTAATGTTAAGTATTTTAGATTCTAAATGAGATATTCTCATATCTCTATCATTCAAATCAGATGTTTGTTGTTCAATTATTTTTGTTGCCTATAATCATTTTTTAAATTGTTTAAATCATACTTTTAACTCTTAAGATATATTCAAGCAAACTTTTTCATATTTTGACTGAAGCAGTGTAATTGTTTCTTCTAGTTTTGTTACAGAGTCTTTTGTTTTAAACCGTTGCATATTATTATTACTTAAGTCGGCCTATAGACATATAAAAAAAAATGGTAATAAATATATAAAGTATTAATATAATTATATGTTAAGAATACTTTTAATTGATCAATGAGTTGGTTATCAAATTCAGACTTCGATAATAATTTTTGTATTTGTACTCTTAAAACAGTAATTTCTACATCTAATGCTTTACTTCGTCTTTTCCAAATTTCCACTGATTTAGCCAACTCACTAACCTTTGATTGAGTATCTTTTAATATTTGGTCATTAATTGCTTTACGTGCTTTCTCAATTTTTCTGTTGCTAACTAAAAATGTATAGTGGTTAGAACAGATTTATAAATGATATTGCTTATTATTAAAGTATGTGATAGACTGCATATGATGTAGAGAACATGTGTGGTAGACTGTATATGACAAGAATACCAACATCTATATTTCAAATACAATAATACCAGATGAATTATGCAGTTCTTTTATTTTTGAATCATTTTGTTTCGCTTGCAGTTCGTTCACTCTTTGCTGCAACACCAATATTTTTTGTGCACGTCCTATGTAATTTGAAGATCCCGTGCCTGATAAAACTGTTTGCATCAACTCTGGGTCTCCAATTTCATTAGATAATGCCTATATTGAGAATAATTAATACCAATCACAAATTAGTTTCCATTATAAACCATTCTTACATTTTGAGTAATTTTCAAATCATTTTTCAATTGCATTATCTGGTTACGGTAATTGAAAATCTTTTTATTCAACAAATTATATTTATCGGTCAACTGTCTTATTTCTGTCAAATCTTTGTTTTCTAGAATGTTGATTAAAAATATTAATAATTACTAAAATATTATATTACTCACTAACATAATATACTTGCATAGTCATCAGATGCTGATGATTTGATTAGTTGTAATTCCGACATAAGCTCATGTACTCTATCTGTTAACTGTAATATTTTTTTATTTGCAAAATCTGGCACGGTATTACAATTAGATTTTAAACTATCATTATTTATAATATTTTTGTTTTCAATTATTGATAGCAAACGGTCGTTTTCTTCTTCTAAGCTCTAATTAAATATTTACAAAAAAAAATTTATAAGATATTTATAACTACTTAGTGCTTTTCCTTACTTTTATTTTATGTAAAAAATGCCTATTTGTATCTTGAATACTTGTCATATCTATAGACTCAGGACATGATGGAATTATCATCTCATTCTAGATAATAAACAATTTTTAATTTAATTTTTAACAACATAAATTTGTTGTCTTTTCTTTTGTTATGATGAAACTTGCCTCTTTATCATGAGTCTTGTTACAAATCGTTCTAACATTTGATTCATCATTTTCATCCATTGATTTATTGACATTTTCTGCAACGGACTGAATAAAATACTTTTTAATAGTATCCATAATTTCAAAATCACTCCTACATAAATCCAGAAGTGTATTTAGTGTTTATCAAAGATTAATTTATTAAATAAACATTGTTGTTCCTAGGTGACAACTGAGAAGAAATATTCTGTATAGACTTGTATACACCAGCTCATATATTACTTTTTTCTATATGAATTTAATAGTCTCATTTGTAAATTGTACTCAAAATGATTAATTGTGTTATTTCAAGCTTAGAAACTTAATACATAGTCAATTTGTGTTCAGTAGAACCATTTTTTTTAAAGTTTAGCTTCAGTGTTAGAGTGTATTGACCTAATATCTAACTTCAAGGTATGGACATTATCTGTGCTTATTTTTTGGTACACACGTACAACTTTGTTTTATAAGTAGGTATTTAAAGTTCAAATGTTGACAAAATTTATCAAATTGAAAGTGGCCAAATTATTTTGTAGTTAAATATTCGTACAATTTTCAACATTTAAGGCTAAGGATCAAAAATTTAAAACAAAATTGCACACAAGTAGTTTTATCTGTATCCAAAAAATATATAAACACGGTTTTTTTATGTTCAAATTTGAACGAATTTCACATATTATTAATTAACTGAGAACAATAATTAAAGGTATTTTGTTGTGATGTAAAAATATTATTTATGGATACTTACTCAAAACTTTTAGAGTGTATTTTTATATTATATACATACTTATCACAATATTACTAAGTAACATTGTAGGCTGACAAACCGCCTTCACTGAAAATCGTATTTCATACGCAATAATGATCATTGAATTCAATTTTAATTCCATCCATTACAGTGACCCACTTGTAACCTACTGTACGACATAGTGACATACACTTACCCTTTTTTTTTCTCCTTAAGTGGACACTACCCATTCATTTGTTGTCTCTGTCTTACACACGTACGACATAGAAAATTGTTGTCCACTAGTTTCAATATTGTGCTGTTAGTTTTGATATTAGAGTGAATTTACCTATCAAAGTTTTAGTTAAGAATATTATCTATTCTATAGCGTCAGCGGATTTTCAAGCTTCAAGCTAGTTATGAGCATTTTTTATTTGTGTTATTTCACATACTCGTATCTTGCTTTAAAATGAAAATATCGAAAATCCACTGACGCTTAAACATAGATAATGTTCTTACCTAAAAGTTTGATAATACTTAAATTCACTCTAATATCAAAACTAACGGCACACTATTCAAAGTAGTGAATGAAAATTTTCTATGTCGTAAGTTGATAAGACGGAAACAACGAACGCTTGGGTAGCATCCTCTTAAAATACGTTTGCTTGCGGGCGCCCACTTTCCCCTTCCAATTTTTTTTTATCAATTTATTTAAATTAATGTAATGATTTATAAAACTTTGACACACTATCTCGAGGAGAAAACTGAAAAATAGTCTTTTAATAAGCTTAATATTGTGACTTGTGAATAATGTTTTGCTTCATTATTTTTCATACATATTTTATCTTGACCAGGTATTTCAGAGAGACCTGCGCATAATTATTCTTAAATAAGTTAATTATTGTGAATAGTTTTTTGGGAACATGAATCTGGATAATATAGACGAGGTCTTCAGCATTTAAACCCTATACATTTATTATAGCCCCTGAAAAAAATACAACATTTAGTACTAAATATAGATGTACCTATCTTGGTTTTAGTGTATCTCAGATTACGTGTAAATCGGCATTGGTGGACCTCGATTTGTGAACTATTTTGACTGCAAAAATCAACAATTCGCCTGCGGTGGATTATTGGATATAATGGATACATAGTCTGACACTGTTGGTCAAGTAGTCTTTGAGTATAATATAAATTACAAACATACAAATCAACTCTCATATTTTTGTAAGATATAATTAATTCTTTATCAAAGTCAATAAACACGACGTTTTGATGCATACTTGATAACTCATCTGCCCGAGTAACCTATGGGCTATGGCAACCATTTATATATAAATTAATACTAATTCCTCAAAATTATTTCTATTATCCGTAAAATATAATCAGTGGCAATCATTTAAAAGAGCCAAAAAAAATGTTGTATTTCAGTTGTAATCTTAAAATCTTTGTGTGAGCACTTATTTAAAATACGAATTTTGTAGGTTTGTGGCGGTGCATGACTCTTTTTGCATTGTACGCAACGACTTTCTGCCGGGGAACAGCATAGGTACTTGTTGCGATGAGCTTAAATGTAATTATGAACAATATTGAACATTGCAGTAATGTACCTATTTTGCCTATACAATACGCCGGGCAACACTTTATGTTGTGTAGTATTTTTGAAGACAAGTGCGTACACATAATATTGCTTTAACACATTTTTAATAGCAAATTAATTATTAAAAGCACTTTTTATACTTTAATAGGCAAGCAACTCTAATTAGTGATCTACAGTTTAAGGTCCTGCAATTATACTTTGCCCCGGATTTCTGTATAGAACAATTGCACCTTAAAATTAAGTACAGTCCACCACTCTTTTGATAAATACTTGATGTAAATATTTATAAAAATGTTCTTACCATTTGCCATGAACAAGCGAGTAAGCGACCAGTGTGGCTGGCCGACACTCTTCTGCTGATCATAAATTTGCTTTGTTGTGCGTAGGTCAGAGAGAGAAATAAATAGTGCCTTAAAAATCAGACTTCATCTTAAGTGTCATCAAGTTGAAAAAGCTGTTGAATGTTGACAGTTAACATTAACTAAAATGTAACAGACTGATAAATAACAGCCAGACTGTCGCACAAAGACATCCCCAATACAACCATTGTCAGATACCCAGAAAAGGACAATCTGTATTTTACGATCACAAATTAAGAAATCGGTGGGTACCTACTTGCAGCAGGTGGCTTATATAACGCCAGAGAAATGGTATGTGAGTATGGTCAAAAAAGGTCTTTGCTTCCGAGATGGATTCTATAGTTCCCCGTATTAAACCTTTTGATAATGCCGCCTGATTATCCCTGGTCAGCATATCCGTGTCGTCCATTTTGCCAGAGCATGCGCACCACCCAACACAGCAACTACCTCTCAATACCAAAATCTACGAGACAACTGGACCTCTTATAATAGGCAGTAATCAGTGTATCTTATTGTTTGGATTGGCGAATTTTGAGTATACCTAATTACTTTGTATCACCTAATACCATTAGTGCTACAGCATAGTCCACAGGCAGCTGCGAGTCAGGTTAATAAAGAAAATGTATTGTATTGACTGCATCATGTTACATTAAACTCTATATTTGAGTTGGATAATTTTTTACTATTTATTAATCTTTATCAATGTAGCATATTCAAGTATTTAATATTATGATGTTAGACACAAGATTTTGACAATATTTCAAATTATTTCTGTTGAGAAGTATAATTGTCTTAAGAAAGTTCATTATTAGTATCTAATAAAAAAGAAAAACCGAGTAAATTTAAGAGATTTGTGTTTAGTCAACAATTTTTTATTCATTCATTTATCTAGAATATTATTTATACAAAACTTTGAAAAAAATTTAATTAATGTTGTAATTACAGACTAGTTAAGCAAACAGCACCTCAAAATTGTTCTTTATTTATTATTTATTTATGTATGACAATTTTATATCTATTAGGGTTCAAGATATGAACTTGAATTATTCATCAAATTACTTAAATCGCAATGGTATAATATACTTCTACAATTTAACTAGGATAACATTGAGTTTTGTTTAATTCCTTAAAATAGAAAATGTATAAAGAATATTTAAATAATATAATTTACGAGTTAAATATCTATTATAAAATAACAATTTAGTAACGTTTTTAAAAACTGGTTCATGAAAAAATACATATGAGCATTAATTATAAACTATATTTTAAATTTCTAGGGATGGTGTTTAAATATACGTAAAAGAATATCGGTTCCGTGAATCACTCAATTTGTAAATTAAACTACCATCAAGATCAGCCGATTCTTTAGTTGGCATACTTGACATAAAATCTCGACAGAATTCAAACACTGAAATATAAATTGATAATATAAATTCATTAAAAATATTTAAATTTATTAATACTCAGTACTTACAAATACTAGATGTATCATCCTCAGATAAAAGATATGTGTCCAAACTACTGGCTAATTTCCAACAAGAATCTACATATTCTTGTTCAATTTTTTCCATTAATTCAACATCAATACTGTCCTCTGTTACACTTCTTGCCCATAATTTTGTAAATTGCTCACATGCATTCCATAACTATATGTAAATAAAATGTTTAAAATATTGAACTTTTAGTTTGAATAAATTTCATAAATACCAATGCCAATGACTCATAAGAAAATTTTTCCATTGATCCATTAAGCATGCATAACCGTATAGCCTGGTTCACATGATCTTCAAGTACTATAAAACAAAAAGTTTTTGATAAATATGCAAAAATTATTTTAATACATTCGTCACAGAACAATGAATTTTAAAAATGGGATTAAGAACTATAATACATCTTCCACAGAAATAGCAGATAAATTTACTTCTTCAAGTATAATGTAATAATAGTAACACATTTTAAAAAACTCAGAGTTAATATAATTTATAAAAAAAAATAATTTGTTAGAAAAATATAAAGACCAGAAGAATTCAATTTAATAAAATATTTAAAATTATATTCCAAACAATTAGACATTTTTGATTTCATAAAATCTTATTGGTACATGAAAATTCTTTGAAAATATTAAAAATTTGAAAAAAATTAAGGCACTATATAATATGAAATATTTGTTTATGAGTTAAACTTTAAAAATATTTTTAGATTGTTGAGAAATATTAAAAAATTATGAAATAGTCCGGAAAATCTGTTGAAACATAAAATTGGTATCTACTGACTAGTGTTTATCATATATATATAATATTTTATATGTTGTATAGCATATATATAATATTTATATTATATAACTTAAGTCAACATTAATACAAACAAACATACAGATACTAACTTTTTTCAAAAGCATCCAAACCATTTTTTACGTTTTTAATACTATCAAACAGTTTTGAGCCCAGATATCTTGACGCAACGCTGAAGAAATATGTTTGCAGTTTATAAGTAGTTGACATAATCCATAATCTAATAAAATACATTCGCTTCACATCTAATGAGTAGTTATACTTATTCAAATCTAAAATATTGTATTGATAATTGATCATTATTGCATTGAGAATTTTTAAATAAATATAATATACATTTACCTTTAGTTTGTAATTGAGAGATCATTGCTACAGCTTGTTTGCTTGTTATTAATAAACGAAAAATTTTGTTATAATTAAATATTACCTCATTGGTTAAAATTAGGCTTAGTGGAAATTTTACCTATACATAAATAAAAATATAATTAATAAGATCAGATAAGTGAAACACATACTTAGAGATTTAAACTCACATCATAAGTAATAGTGATGCGTTCAAGTTCATCAGCAAAATTATCTTTGAATACATCATTTTCTTCAAACAAATTATTTTTTTCTGTCTTATAGTTCAGTGATAGATTACACGAATGATTACTAGATACAATTGAACCGTGATCATCACTAAGAAGTGAATAAAAACAATTATTCAAAAACGAATTGCGCTCAATCTATAATAATTAAAAATTAGTTTAAATATTGTGATGACTCAAATAGAATAATAATAAATAAAAGCAGAGAAAAAACTGTGAGACTAGCAAAACTACCTGTACTAAAGCATAGTTTTAATTTCAATATCAAAATAATTATATATATATTTTACCTTATCTTACCTTAATAAAATCTACCTTTTATAAAGCAGTTGTGAACTTGTGAGGCTAGTCGTGTAAGGCAGTAGATAATAAAACAAAACAAAAGGATGGTGAGTGTTACAGAGATAAGAATGCAAATGTAGATGTGTAATGACTCGAGGATAGAATAGAACATTAATTAATTAAAGGTAGTGTAAAAGTGGCATCAATATTGTAGAAGAAATGAGGGCGTATAGGTTGAGATTGTTCGGTCAGGCAATGAGGAGAGGTAACTTGGAGGCAGGAGGCAGGGAAAGTGGTTATGGAAATTTGTATAGAAGGAAAGAGGGAGAGGAAAATCGAAGAAGAGATGTAAAGACATTAGACAAAATAGAGAACATGAAATTAGCTTAACTGGTAAGAGTAAAGGAGTAGTCTGTGGAGGTATAAAGACAAGGGTAGCCGACCAACTACATATATTTGGGTGCGAAAGTAAAAGCAAAAAAAAAAAGAATATATTTTACCTTATATTCCATAACTCTATCAATTTGAACAGATTTATTCACATCTTCTAAGAAAATTATATTGTACAAATTCTTCAAATGGTGCACAAATTTATTTTTCTTTAAAACAATATCTCCGACTTCCAATCCAATGTGATTTATGGCTTTTTGAATAACCAATAAAAACATACTAACCATTCCATAACTTGAAGGTATAGTCAGTTCAAATGTTGATTTATCATTAAATCTAATTAGTCAAATAGAATTACAAAAAAAATTAAATATAAGTTAGGTATAATAATTTCATTTATTATTTAAGTGAAGTAACAACTATTATTAAACAGACCAACACTCTATCAATAATATTTAGTTAGAGTAAATTAATATATTACTGCTTCACCATGGTCTAAAATCAGCGGGGAAAGACCCTGGGTAATAATAATAGTGGTTCTCTTGAACCAAGTTTAAAAAAAAATTACACCTACTGAAATTAGAATTTTACTTGGATCTATATATACACATTTAAAGTTAAATAAAACTTTACCTTACCTCCCTCCTTTTAAAAAATCCTAAATAAACCAGTTGCTTCACAAAAAAATTACATGCAGAAATAAAACAAAACATCATTCCTAATGAAAAAAGTTGATTATGAAACTATACATTAAATAGTTTTATATACTATCCATAAAATTAGAATTCAAAATTAATATCAAAAATCAAACACCATATCTATAATGCAGACTACCGACTAATTAGAATTTTAAATTTTATTGGAAGAGTTTTAAAATAATAAGCAATATTTTTTAAAATTGATTATGTAATTACTAAACATAGTAAATATGATATTATACATACACATAAACAACTTACAGTGGATAGATTAAACTGGGAGCTAAAAATACATTCACATAATATTATCAATTATTTTAACCTTCAATTAATTTTACTTTATACATAATACAATATATTCAATACGCTAAATGCAGATACATACTTATAACAGACACACACTGATGCTAACAATGGCAATTTATTCCAGTTGGATGGATTATATTCATTGAAAGGATTAATGTAATTGTTCCAGAAGGTATTAGAATTTTTTATTTCAATTAAAAAATTATTAAACAGTTGGCCTAAAATCATTTAAAATTAAAAAATAAATAAAGTTACCTAAATAGTTGCAATAAATAGATATTCTAACATACCTCTTGGAACTTCACACAAGGCAATAGCGTCATTACTAATTGCTGATGCTACAAACACTTTCCAATCACAATTATTCAAAAAGTGAATTAAGTATTCAAGAATTGGCGGTACATTTAAGTTACAATCTTTTAAGTATCCATGTACATCATTAAAGAATATATTGAATGGTATACTACTGTCTCCTTCATAATTGTATATAATAAATTCATTGTTTTGATCAATTAACTGCCCTGCATGAATCCATAATTCTGTCATATGTACATAAGGTTCAAATGCATACAAGAACAGTGTCATGACAATTAATTTTTGGTAGTCAATAATTGCATTTTGAACGGACCAAAATAATACAGAAATCAATCTGAAATATAGATAGATATAATAACCAAACACATAAGTACATTTAAAATAAGAATTATACTTACTTAATTGAAGTTTTCCAACTATCAGTTGTCTCCCAATTTGAAACTATAGCTTTTGAATGCACAGAATAAACGTAAGAAATAACTTGAAAATGCATATACATTTCTTCTTCAAATGATAATAATGTGGCATGGCCAACTATATTTAATTAAGTGAACATAAACTTTTCATATGAACACCACTAAAAACAAATATAAAAACTTACCACAATTTTTAATTCTATTTTCAATACAACACATTTTATCAATCATTGGTTCTAAAATGTACTCCAATCCTTTGGCATATGCTCTAACTGTATAGGGTATTTTTTTTAGTTCTTTTAGATGGCGTGTAAATTGTATTAGAAGGTTAAATTTTTTCATACACCGTGAAATAGTTAAAATCCATCTATTAAATACCTCCTAAATTAACATTCAATATTATTGATGATCGGTTAATTAATAAGATCAAAGCTACAACTTACAGGTGATATAGATGACGAAATAGTCATACATCCAAATAATTTACGTTGTTCTTCTAAACTATACTGAAGAATATTTGATATAGTTAAATTGTTTTTTAAACACTCAAGTATTATGAAATTATCATCTATAATTTTAAATATTTTGTTGTTTGTGTATCTAAAAATACATGTATAGTCAATATATAAATATTTACATAATATACAATCATTTTTTTTTTTTTTATTATCAGCCTTTAATATAAATAATGTAAATTGTTTACCTTTTTAAGCTGAAATAAAATGGATGTTGTCCACCTTTAGCTGTTTCAGATTTATTGAGCCACCAATATTGAGAAGCCCGTTTTATTAATAAATTTCTACCAATATTTTCATGGGAAAAAACTAATTTAAGATATTCCCTACTAGGTAGACAGTTATTATTATCTTTTATTCTATTCACTAGAACATTTTCTGGTGAACTAATAACACTTAACGAGCGAAAATCAGGCTCATCTTCAGAATCTGTTTCAGAATCAGATTCGATACAGTACTATAAATCAATAAATATATTGTTGATTAAAGCAAAAATTATACATTTTTGCTTGTATTATAAACTTACAGAAGTTCTACCAATGTTTAATAACTCTTGTATAAGATCAGCTTTCCATGAATCACCAAGCACTGCAGCTTCACCTTCTAATTCAATTCTAACAGTATCTAAATTTGTTTTACGGAAAGCATTTCTAGAACCACAAGGATTAATAGCCATACTAATTATCATCCCTACGATTGCCCATTTCACAACATCTGATGGTAGCTAAAAGACATTTAATTGTATTATTATTAGCACGAAAGCATAAAGTATAATGTAGGAATAATTAATGTTAAATACTTTAGATGGATTATTAATATAAGAATAATTAATAAATCGGTGAATGCGCATTTCAAATTCCTTAGCTTCCAACGGAAATCCTTGAACACGATATTTTTCCATTAGTCCTTTTACACAATATTCAACATCTGACTGTTTAGGAGGTTCATAGTACACATCATGCAAGTTATTTACTATTTGAGCATATTTCAGATAAACTTCATTGAAGTTCTAAAACAAAATTGTAATAGATTACTAAGCTTTGTTTTAACAATATATCAAATACTCAAAGATACAAACTTTTAATCCAGTCATCATTTTAATTAGTTCTAAAACGTTTGCAAGTGCCTTCGAAGACAAACTAATGACAGACGGGTTGTCCATTTTAATTAAGTTAAAATAATACTCCTTTTTCTTATATATACCTAGTTTTGAGCTTACAAAAAACACATAGTTAAGTGAACCAAAATATAAAAACGGAACAATTTACAATTAGATGGTGTTATAATATATAAGGATAACATTAGTTATACATTGTCATAATAAGGTGGTGTCACATTAATCATAGATTTATACCACAGAATAGATTTAATTTTACATTAAACATAAAACTTATAACGAAAAAATCTAATAAATTGAAAGTGATTTTGGCGGTTGTGATTATGGGCTTGTAAATTTGTTATGATAACGGACAGATGTTATGGACAATATTGATAATATATGTATATATTATCTATAGTTATGGTTATAGAACCAGAGAATTGATAGCACAGAATGATAGAAAGAAAGAAACAGGAATTTAAATTTTAAATATTTTCAATGGATGAGGCTCTCGAATATTAGGTAATGAGTTTCAAACAAATATTCCACACCTAACAAATACAATTATGGACACAGTGCAATCATTTAAAAACTTAACATTTTATAAAATACTGTTTTGTCCAAAATAAATTCACTCTCTCAAATCTGAACCTAAATTTCCATCCAACTTCAGAACTTAAAGTTAATGGTTTTTACAGAGGTAACATTGTGTTTACATTCATATTTTATACATAATATTATTTACATCTATTTAATTTTCAATTAGTCATAACTCAACAACTCAGATAGTCCTACGGAAATTAATGCACAAGCATGTTGTCTTTCAATGTAGTAACATATTTTATTTTTTATTTTTTGTATCCATAGACAATTTAATTAGGCCTTTTGTGTGGCTCATTATTTTTCTTATTATAGTATATTATTATTATAATTTTATCTATTATACCTACTCAACAAATTTCTGTGGTAAATCATTTCATAATTCATTTCTGGTCCATCTATACACATATTATGATAAAACTTCTAGTTCCATTCGCTATGTTTAAATTTGTGGATAGAAGCCTTAAACCTGATATTTTTCACTTATTGTTCGGCCAGTTTGGAGTTTTTTTGATGGTGGAGACTAGAGAGGAGGTGATAATGCAAGTAGCAAAAGTGCTAAATTAAAACTGCTTCAGCTTCAAGCTTTGTAGATCTTATTTGCTGAAGATTAATACACAATCAATAATAACTGTCTAACCAAAAAAGGTACAACTGGCCCTTAGCCCATGACATAATTTGTTATGCCTTAGTGGGGCTTAGTTGATTAGTCAGAAAATAGTAGGTAAAATAGATTTTAAATACTCATCTATTGAACATCAATCTTTGAGTATAGTTTAAGGGAACCCTACTCGGGCATTTGTTGTCTCTGTCTTACTAATGTGTATCATACCAAATTTATGCACAGCAGCTTCGCTTTGTCCATTAATAAATTTGAGTGAATCGACTTATTATAAAACTTAACGGAAAGAACATTTGTTAGTGTTTATATGTTGTTTTTTGACAATAGTTCAATTTTTTGGCAAGTGTTCCGTGTACAATATAGTGTAAATTAAGAATATTCATAACTCACTTAAAAACTGAATGATCATAAAATAAACCCTAATACAAACAGATAAAGTTCTTACCATCAAGTTTTATAAGAGATAGATTCACTCTAATTTCTAATAAAAGAAACTATACGTGATCTACTGAGCTTAAATTTGGTAGGTATGTTACACACTTGTAAGACAGAGTGTCCTCTTAATTGATTAGTTTTAAACTAAGTACAAATAACGTAAGAGTATGTTTGTTTTTTTTATAGTGTTCAGTTGCAGTCGGGAAATGGCAGGATTACTAAAACTGATAATACCTAAATCGATAGTTACACAATCTACTTCAAAATTCTTTCAAGCACTCCAGTTGGATTCGTTCATTCTTAAAATAATAAGAATGGAAGAGGTAACGAACGACACTGATTTCAGATTTGTGTCTCGTCAGTTCGTCACTAAAGTTGAATCTATTCTTAAGTATTGAATGCAACATAAACAGTAATACGATGTCAGAATCGAAAGGATAACCCAGTTTGAGTTACAAATAATTACAAACTCATTCAAATACTTCTTGAACAGATATTAAACATCGCCAAAAAGAAGTTCATAATGGGCAAACACTAGCGAGCACCTGCTCATTTATGTTAATTTTCAAAGTAGTAGGTAGTATTTCAACTATGTTTTCCTTAGATATAGAACATTAATAAGGTCTATGAGGAACAAATTAATGTTCTTAGGAGGATGTTTCACCTGAATGTGTTGTCACCCTCTTACAAATGTACACAACATAGCAAAAACTGTTTTGCACAAGACAACTAAACTCCCTCTGTACTTAAGTAGAATTATCAAAAAAATAAAAACTCTCAGAAATAATTAAAGTTCTTCCCTATGTGATGTGGAATTGTGGTAATCCTACTATAAATACAGAGGTATTTGTCTGTTGTCTCACACAAAATAGTTATTGCTATGTTATACATTTGTTAGACAGAAACAACACATGTTGACGAAAATCAATTAAATCAAATTATAGAGTTTTATCTTTCGAATTCTTCACCAAGTTTTGAAAGGTAATGAATATGTTTGTTACTTCTTCATGGCAGGTATTTTCCACTTATATACTAGTGTAATACTGGTATAAGCAAAATTAATAATGTTGTCTTGTATAAATTTCTTCAAAATGAAAAAATTTCCAATTTTTACTGACTAACTATTCATGAAATTGAAGATTTAAAGTCTGCATTGAGATGAAAGATGATGAAATTAAAAAATTAAGATGTAGATATCAAGGTCTTCTTAGGAAGACTTAAATATCTCAGGTTGGTGGTTTAAAGAAAATATTTGCAGATCCTGATATTAATTTAGTAAAGCCTAGTTTATTATTAAATGTTTTTAAATTAAGATATTTTTCTATCTAATAATATGAAATGTGGCCAGCCCAATACAAATTGCAGATTGTAATCATGAAGCTAATGTAAGGAACATTATAAATTATAAAAACATCAATACAGTTACATTAATTTCCTAAACGATGACTAATTTAGTCCCCCAATAGTAAATATTAAGGTGGTAGCAAAATGTAAATGTTCATCTGAAGCATGTTAAAATATTTACATCACAAGTAACTTGATCTAATGTAAATTTATGAAGATTTTGTTTTAATAATGGAGTTGATACATAATAAAACTTGTGTTGAAGGTTAAAAAGTATTATCAATATTGATTATTATTATACAACTTATGAAAAAAATTCAAAACTTTATGTAAAATATTACATGCTTCCAGGAGCAGTTGATTTTAAATAACCAATAACTCATACTTTATAACCCTTTTGAGATGAGTTGTTGGTTATTGTATCTTAAGCTATGTCTGCATGACTGCATTACAATTAAATATATTATGGATTTAAATTAGATTAAAACAATGTTAGAATGCTCTATCATTATTGTGTTTCATGAAAATTCTGCAATTCATAAAGAGGTAATGCAATACCTATATTTCCTTATATTTACTATTAAATATCAGTAAATTATGTATACCAGTACCATGTTGGCGAAGTGTATGCACGGGGTATGACACATTTTTAGATAGCATATGACCAAAGTTCTAAAAGAACTCTTATTAGAAGAAAAAATAAAAATAAATTTAGGAATGATCGATACTTGCAGCTTAATTCAATGACAACAATTTTTTTATTATATTCTTTACATTAAACAAGTCTTTAGAAAAATATTTCTTTTATTTTTCAACTTAAAAATAATGTTGGAAACCCTAATAATCTAAGAGCGAGCAGTAAATATAATAAATATTTTTAAGGTAATGGTCCTATATGAGCTTTTATATTTTTTTTCTCATTTTGGAAGGACATTTCTTCAGCAGCTTAGGACAAAGTCTGTGCACACCTATGACCTAACTCTATAGGTAAGTTTCGCGGATAATTGACACCAGCATGACGAGATACGATTTTGACAGCTTTTGAGTTTTAGTATGTTATATGTACTATATTTCCTTTGTGAGTTAGTTGTTGATAATTAAATAACCCAACCCTTAATTATGTAAGATAATATGAGTTTAGTCGAAATAACAATATAGCAATAAAAATTAAATACAGGCATACTAACACATTGTAAAATTAAGAAATATATGTGAAAGATATTTCCCTCGCCATTTTAAATTCCTGTCTAAAGTCTGCGGAATTTTGTATAAGGTTTTTCACCAAGCATGCACATCCCCTTATTTTTCTTTTAATAATGAATTAATTATGATTTTTGGAATTTTTCAAATTCTTGAGATATAATTCGTACTACTGTTTGGCGATAAAAATTTCTGTTCAAATGAGCGTATATTATATACATTATAGAATATGTACAATTATTGTACATTGTACACTGTTGACACCCACCGACGAGGTCAAAATTTATAAAAAAAAAAGGTTGAAATGACCTACTAAAAATATTATAAATTCCGAGATATTGATGTTAGAAATATTGAGAGCCAAAAGGTCAGAAACATAGCTAAATAATTTATTATTAGCATTTTCAATAGTCATTATTAGTCAACAAATAAAATTGATTTTACTAAATATAAAGTCCGACAATATTTTAATACTGATATAAAATTGCTTTAGCATTTTTTTTATAGTTAATATAATCAATAAATACATTTTTAAACATTGACTTGTCACTTGTGGTATTCAACATTTTTAACTATTCCAAAAGGAAAAGTACAAGCTCACTACATTTAATTTTTAGAAAGACCGTGAATTGAACATTTCTATTTTCATTATATTGCTAATACAAATGTTCAATGTATTATGAATTAATAAATTTAAAATTTAAACTTTTTAACGATTTTGCCAACAATTAAAAAATTCTAGTAAATTTCTTAGAAACCAATTGTTGAAGAGGACAATCGGTGAAGTTGATGAAAAAAAAGAAGAAAATAATAAACTTAAATATAATTTACCTACTGACTAGGTATGTATACCTAATAAGTGGTTGTCAACGTACTATATAGGTATCTTTTTTTTCTCTGCGCAATATAGAAAATTTGCGTTCAGTAAAACCATAGTATAGACGTATAGTAAACCATACTTCTTACATTGGCTTGTTTACGATATTTCAATGATTGTAAAAAGAGATATGAGAATTTTAATCTAACATTTTAGTATTTTATGTATTCATAACTTTCATAAAAATGTAATCGTAAAAATACCAACATTAGAATTTAAAACAGAATTGCAGAATACAGATAATGCTATACCGAATACAAAATTGCTATATTGCCTGAGGGTCAGAGAGAGAGAAAATAAATAGTGTGCTATTGTGTATATAATGTCATATGCCATATGGCTGACATTATCTTACATTATTTTTGTTAATCATTATTAAGTATGTATTTGCGTTATATTTCTATTAAAGATAATATATAGTAATTAGTAATATATAAATAATAACATTAGATTCATTACAATAATATTGTACCTATAAGTTGTACTAGTTATAACATCCATCATATTTATAAAAACACTTTAATACAATATTTTGTAATTTCGATAGCTTAAATCGAATATACTGTCCAAGTCTAATATTCTAACTGCAAATCTAAGGCTATACAATTTGCATGTTGTTTTTCTAATATTTAAATTAATAACAACTTTGGATCAGCAATCAACTGTATATTATAGAATATAAAACAATAATGAGACACAACAAAACTACTTGTCCTTACAAAAATGTGTGGCAACAGGACACCTATAAAGGTGGTACGCAAGTCAGTGACAACCGGCCGGAAATAAATAAAAAAAAATTTACCTGGGTATATACGGTAATAGTGTACGAGTAATGAGTATATATACCTATATTATAAGTGTTGTATTATAACAATAATTTTGTTACCATAACCGTTTCAATACGTTCAACTAATCATAACATAACTTGTACGAATTGTAACTTAATTTGACAAGCTCGTTTTTTTGTTAATAGGTACTGCAACTATGTTATTCGATTGTATTGATTAGTACCAGAAATCAACAAACACGTTGTCAAAAGTCTACAGTATGTCGGTTGTATTTTGACAATTAGGTATGTTTACAAAACTTTAGGAGTCTAAATTTATGAAACAAAAATATTATTGAGAAGTTACTACGATGTAGGTATACTTGTGACTATTATGTTCGTTTTGTAAAGGGACCAGTGCATCAGTGGTATACAAATTGGTACGAATATTCAGACAATTATTGTTGTTTATATTATGAAAACTGTATGTTATTTTTGCAAATCGAACCTAGAGTTGTGCTACTCTGTTATCCCTTATCTCATAGGAGTTCTTGTATTTTCATATAAAAATCAATGAATTAGAAAATATAGTGGTCCTTAGTAAAAAGTGCTAAATTTATAAATTTATTACTAAAAGAAAAAGTCGACGTGTCGTACGACACCAACTACCGACGCCCTACCACGGTGGTCCGTGAAGTATACCACTGCTGACCGTTTTGTTTTTTCTATGGCTCACCGATCATAATGTTCAAAAATTTCGATTTCGACACCAACAATTTTTCGAAATGAACCACTGCGGCGTTGCCGTCCCGTCTTATTCCGTGCCATATTAATCATTGTAACTACTGCCATTCCAGAGCTTTCGCGCCTAATTCGCTCACGGGATTACGCTGACCCACTGAGCAGCGCGCACCCCTCCACACCAAACTATACAGACAATCGTTCTTTACTTCCCTCTCGATTACTAATAACCTGATCGTGATATTTCATTCGTGTCGTACCGCACTGTTGCCGATTTTGTTTTAACGTGTATAATATGAGTTAACGTTTTTTTTTAACCTGCATAGGTTTTAAAGATTTTCAGAAAGTATACCTGTCTGATAATATATGTTGAACGGTGTACGTTTGCAACCCGCAGGTACACACTATACGCGATGATAGTTTAAGCTCTAAGAGAAAATATTGAAAGTCGATATATTATGTCCTATATTCACTGCAGTCGTTAGCGGGACAACTGTTTCTGAATGTTCGGCGGTGGGATGGCAAAAAGACATTTTCCCCTTTATATTTCTTTTTTTCTTGTGCTACTAGGGTTTTTTTACCTTGCCAAATCTAAAATCTGGGTTTAGTACAAATTTATCGATAAAAAATAACATAAATGTAAATGATGAGGGTGTGGAGGTCCGGTAAAATATTTGGTGAATAAATAACTATATTTAGCAATATTTGAAGAGGTTAAACCTCAATTAAGCCCCTTGATAGTAATGGTTACAAACGAGTTAAGTATTCAGTATGTACGATCAAGGTACCTAACAAATAAATATAATAGTGAGGCAGGAAGCACCTTACAAATTACAATACTCATAAAACATCGACTCGAGCTTACTGCTCC